TTTTTTTAAAGGAAAAAAAAAAATGTAAAAAAAAAAATCTAATTTAATTTGACGAAATTACATACAGCATATACAGTGTGAATGATGGGAAACAAATGTTAAGCGGGTTAAGGCTATGTATATATAGCTTGAAAATGGGTATTTACTTTTTCGCATAATGTATGCTTTCTGAATGAGAAAACGGAATATATATATATAAGTCATTTAGAAAGCAACGAAAGAAAAGGAATTTTGATAAATGCTATAAAGTAATAACACGGAATTTTTAAGCTAAATACAAAGATGTCATTGTTCATTACAAAGGCTAGAATTTAAAAAAAAAAATTTTGCGACACCTTTTTGCCAAGAAATCCAAAAATGATAATATATATTTTCTTTTTTTAGGATGAAGAGCTGGGCTGGTTTGCATGAATCTTTTGGTGGCGACGAAGGTTACTTACGACCGAGAAATGGCGACCACAGCCTTCAACTGGGCATTTGAATGCTAAAACAAATATGAACAATATGAATGGAAATTAATAAGAATGAAGCGGAAGACAAATTGAAAAATTGAAAAATTGAAAATATGGAGAATAATCGTTAATATGTATGTACAAATATATACAAAGATAATATATAAAGTAATAAATGACAATAACACAGGAAAGCAGTTTAAGGGTTAGTGTAAATAAAGGAGAGGAAATAAGGAGAGGAAATAAGGAGAGGAAATAAGGATGAAGAATTAAATAGATTAATGCAATAAGGAAGCAATAAGGAAACAATAAGGATGAAGAATTAATAGATTAATGCAATAATGCAATAAGGAACAATAAGGAAATAATAGATCACATAAAAAAAAAAACCAACATACGTTTTTCACCGGTATGACTATATGTGTGAGTCTGTAATGAGCTTGGTCTAGTGAACCTTTTCTGGCAGATATTACACTTGTATCTTTTTGGAGTGGATGATACGGTCTTTGAACTGAATGTAGTCATCATGGCTTGAGGAGCAGGAACCGGAGGAGGTCTTGGTGGATTTTGTTGGGACTGTGATTTGGAGGACGTGCCGTTACCATTTACGGATGGCATGACGGTTATAGTGCCATTGTTATATCGACCAGCCATTACCGGATAGTCCTGTGGCGTTGGGTAATTCGCAGGGTGATGAGGAATACCAGTTCGATCGTAACTCACCGGAGGATAATAAGCGATCGGGGTAGCGGTGTTCGGGCCAGAAGGTTTAATCATGGAAGGATCTGTGAAGAAAGCAGGATCTATAGCACGTTCATCGAAACCTTTTGGTTGTTGTTTTGTGTAAGAACCGAAAGGAAAAGGTGCGGTACCATTACTCCATTGTTCGGGAGAACTGTTAGCAGAGGAAGACTCTGAAGAAACAGATAAATTAAGAATTTTAGTATCATGAGACAAAAGAAACAACATCAACATCAATATTTTATAATCATTGCATACCATTAGAAAACGACGGGGTTGAGGTCGACGGGTAAGGGGCCGTGTTAAACCTAATCGAGTTGAAGGTAATATGAGGAATGTGAGTAATATGAAAATGTAGGTGAAAGAATAAAATTGATGATAACTAGAATATTTGGCAACAAGATTTGATGATAATATTTGATGACAAAATTTGATGACAAGATTTGACGACAAGAATTGATGACAATATTTAATGACAATATTTAATGACAAGATTTAATGATAATATTTAAAAGTATAAAAAGGGGGGAAAGGGAAAGATCTCAAGGTTTTTTTTTTTTTTTTTTTAAAGTATTTTGAGAAAGTATTTTGAAAGTAAAAAAGAAAAAAAAGAAATTGAAAGATCGATACGTACGCCGAATTCGAAGGATAACCATCACCACCATTAATCACGGGCTTATTATCACCAGCGAAAGAAGGAGGAGAAGAGCTTGGAGAACTATCAGCCATCATTACACTGTTATTTGAAGAATCGTCAACACGCGGTGAGGGATAAGCAGTAGCGTATAAATCAGTAGTATGAATTGAATGTTGAGGAGAATAAACTTCTTGTTGTTGTTGAGGAGGACTATTATAAGCTTGTACGTAAGAAGCAAGAGCAGCAGCTGTTACAGTAACTTGCTGAGGAGAATGTGGAGACGGTGGAGAAGGTACTAAATATTGTTGTTGAATCGCAGAAAAATTATAAGCAGAATCGAGAGACGGTAGGTTGAATTGAGTTGTGGGAGTTGTCATAATGATTAAAAACGCAACAAAGAAAATTAATATTGCAAGTTGTTTAAGAAAAAGTCTTTGGTCAAAAAATAAAAAAATAAAAATTCTTTTGTTTGTCGTTAAGATATAAATATAGAAAAAAAAATATTTTTGTCGTGCAAAGAAAAAAATGAAAGCGGGGGGAGGACAGGTTTTTAGCGGGTTGTTTATATTAAAAAAAAACGAATTATAATAGTACAGATGGACAAGAATCAATCTTTTACATAAGAGGATGATGAAAGAAGAAAGATGTTTTAGTTTCCATGTGTACTTTTAATATATTACCTTGTAAAGCTTTTTATATTTTCAATGTTCAAGTCGACGACATAAAACTTGCAAACTCGGGTTCAGAGAGCAGGAACTCAAAAATTTACAACTTTTATGTATTTATACCACAATGCAATCAATCAAGGAAATTTATTTGTTGATTTCGGATGATTAAATTGTTATTGTGTATGCGTAGTTCATAAAATATATGCAACGGTTAAAAAAAAAAAATTTTTTTTTTTTTAAGTTTAACAGCATAAAAAAAACAGTTCACAAAGAGAAATTTATAAATTAAAAAAAAAAAAAAAAAATTTTTTTTTTTTAACCTCAGAGCAAATTAAAACAAATTAAGTATTTAATAAATAAAAAAAAATATATAAATAAATATATAAATATATATATATTCAAGTGTGATAATGAATTTTTTTTTTTTTTTTTTTTAGAGGCAACACAAAAACGAAAGAGGGCGGGGGAAAAAGGAATGGGGATAATTCTGTTTATTTTTATTTTTATATATTATTTTATTATTATATTATTATATTATTATAAAAAAATTACTAAACCAGGAAAGGTAATAATTATATACTTGTTAGGTGATATTAAAGGTCTTAAACGTGTTTACTATATACTTTTTATCAGTTAAGCTTTTACGGATTATTCGGAATTGTTCTCTGGGAATTATATATTACGTATAGAATTATAATATTGGATAATGGGGAGGTTACACGATTACACGGTTTGATGCTTTGGAGCATAACGAACCCAAAAATTTTTTAGTTTCGGACGACTATGATTCATTTGACGAATCTTTGAGAAGCCGAAATGTCACAAAAAATTGATACATATGACACAAGTATACACGGTATACACACGTCTAAACCGTATAAGCACGTATACAGAGAATATGAAAGTATGCATGGTATACACGACAATTCATTGTATAAATTCATTATATAAAAATCATTGTATAAATTGCTGTTTAATGCAATGTTTTGAGTGCAATGTTAAGTGGAAAGTTAAGTGAGAATCGGAGAAATAGGGCAAAAAAGGGTCGTTACTCCCATGAATGTTTACCGAAACAGAAGCACTCTGTTGTACATAACCTGGAGAAATTATTACAACGGAGGGTACGGGCATAGATAAGAAATTAATAATAATAGTAATATAACATGCATGTAAATATGTCACGTGGAATGATGAACAACTGTAAACCGGTTTACGACAGCAAAATTCAAGTTTTCACATTTCGGCGCAGTTTTATCGCTTAGGGGATTGGTAGAAGCCCAACCTCGGAATGGTAGTAGAAAGAAAATGGTTCTAAGCCTAACGAATACCAAATTACCCGAATTTGAATAGATATTTGAAGCCGGGTAAAGATGAGATAAACTTATTTTTTTCATTTTTTTTTCCTGTTTAATTTTGTAAATGAACCAATTACATTTCATTCTGTTAGAAATTAATAAAAATTTAGATAAATTGTTTTTTTTTTTTTTATAATCGATATATTATAATTATCGATATATTATAATTGATATATAATCGATATATAATATATTTATAATATAATAATACATACATATCGATATCAAATATTATCAAATATATAATAAATAATTATATAACGATAATTTAATAATACAGTATATAGCATGTAATTACAGTAACTAGTGACTACAGTGACTACAGTGACTACAGTGACTACAGTGACTACAGTGACTACAGTGACTACAGTAACTACAGTAACTACAGTAATGTAATATGCGATCAATAACGAATACAAATCACAATATATAAAAATTTCGGATAAGAGATACGTTTTCGGTATGGAGCCCGATATCTAAAAATCTTGCGACACTTTTTCTTTCCACTTATTCTTTATTTCTGTGTAGAAAGGTCATTATGTTTTTGGATACAATATTTTAGTTTAAATTGTTGCTTATGCATGCGTGAGAATAGCATATATAAAACCTAAATTATTGTCGAAATGAAACGAACTATATAACTATAATAGATAAGTTGTTATACATACATAAAAAAAAAAAAATTTAAACTTTAATTTTGTTTATATTTATATTTATTATTTATTATTTATTTATATTCGTTTAAATTTGAATTAGATAATATTATAATATTCAGAATATTTAGATAATACTGTAATAGTGAAAAAAAACCGTGTTTCTGAATGCTTATAAATGAATATATGGAGGTTGAACGAACTCGTGAAAGTTCATAAATAAAGAATTTAAAAAAAAACCCAATACACTTCTAAAATTCCAAAAATGTACGTGTACTCTGCAAAGCACCCGCCAAGAAGAACTAAAAGGTCACAAGATAAAATGTAGAAAAACTGTTGTAATCAATAAATGAACATGAACTCGTGCGTCGTGAAAGGTTTAAGATTCCAGAAAGGGTTATATTCGATTAAAAACGTGTAAAGTCGTCAGATCTAGCAACTGTTACAGGTGTAACAATCGATTGAAATTTTTGGTGTCTTACGCGTGATTAATAAAAGACAATTATAATTCATGTTATATTATTCAAACTTTTACCTTATTTCATATTGTGAATGAATTAGACTTTTTTTTTATCACAAATTATATAGAATGTAATAAAATGTAATAATAGAATGTAGTAATAGAATGTAGTAATAGAATAGTGTGTCGGATTACGATTAACCTAAGATAGGATGAAAGGATGAAGACTAAGTATATACTAAAGTATATACTCTAAAGTATAAAATAAATAAAGTATATACTCTAAAGTATATAAAGTATATAAAGTATATATTCTAAAATATAAGTATAAATGAACCACTAATTATTTTTAAAGAATTTTAGTACGAATAAATGCATCGTATTACCTTGGTTCTAAGTAAAGGAAAAATATAGACTTTATAAAGATTGGTTTATAAAAAGAAATTTTGTCAGACAAAGAAATTGTCGATGCCGGTTAATTTATCAAATCTATTTACCGGCGAATTTAATGAATTTACATAAGCTACTCCACATTATCGTATTAGATAATATGGATAAATTAATTTTTATTATTTAATCATAATTATTTAATCACAGTTAACTAGTTCATAGGTTACATTTTATATTTCATTTACTTAATTTATTTCGTTTCGAATTGGTCATTTCTCAATCGTATCACCATTCTTACTTATTCTTACTTTCAGTTATACTGAATTTACTAAATTTACTGAATTTGCTAATTTTCTAATTTTCAGAACCTTCCGAATTAGGGTAATTCATTTTCAATACTATTCATTTAAATGATTTAAATGTTTAATTCCATTCATTTAATAATCTAATCATCTAATCATCTAAACATTTAAAAATATCTAACGCTATTCATTTTATTTCTATTTTAACGTTAAAGAGGATTACAATAAGTAACAGTAACATTACGATTAATTTATTTTTAATTTTTTAGATGATCCTTGAATAAATAAATGCTGTATTTACAAGATTGTATGCAACACTCAAATTCGAATATCAAATATCGAATATCAAAAAATATCAAATCAAATTTGAATGTCAAATTCGATTAATATTTAATAATAATCCGAGAGTATCATAAAAGTATGTATCTACAACATTAATGAAACAACATTAAATGAACATGGTAAAGAAACGATGATCACAACGCATAAAAAAAAAACGCGTCTTTCAATGCGTAATTTCAATAATAAGTATATCATTCCGAAATAAACAACTTAATCTGTCTGTACTGTCTGTGCTTTTGTATATTCGGATATTGTCTTTGGGAAATTTATTGTTTAATAACTGTTTACATACATACTTGACATGTGATTTGCCGGTCACGTAATGTAACGCCATCAATTTATAACATACAAACCTGCTGGTAAACCAGGTAATCTAATATGTAATACGTATCCATTTTTATTTATTATATATCTGATATATCGATAGACTATTGCTACGTATATTATTATTATTATTATTATTATTATTATATATTATATTATATTATATATTATATTATATATTATATATTATTATTATTCAAGATTATTTATTTGCATTTTATACTGTATTAACTTTATTAAAATAATAAAATAATACGCATTAACTTTATAATAATATTAACTACATCTGATATAACGATAAACAGATGATAAAACAATAATATTAGCATTTATTAATAATGTATTATTAATACGTACGTATCATTATTAATATATATCAAGTTATTTCTGTATTTATTTGTTTATTCGTCTAAATGTCACATTATTTACGATAAGAAAATTTATTGTGACTTGTGAATACTGATACCGATATTTAGTTCGAAAGAGAAATGTCGTGTAATCAACACAACTAACACAACTATCATGGGTCGTCATCAGTGTAACAACTTGCCCGAAATTAGAGATAGATCACGTAATAATGATATAAAAAGCAACTTGGTAAAATCTCATGTAATAATCATATTCTTTCTTTAGATCCGGTGAAGTCGCGTACGTATTGAATTCCTCTTTTGTAATTTCATTGTGTGTGTGTTTCATCGTAAAAAAAAAAAAGAAGCATTTATAGATATATGCATATTAACATTCATTCTAACTTCTTTGCATAAAAAAAGATGTATAGGTTTACTTCTTTATTTATATTATAAAAAAATGTTTGTATACATTTCAAGAAACTAGAAATTCAAATCCTAATTCATTTCAGGGTCGCATTTGAAATGTTTCGGCA